CAGTTTCTTCAACAACTGGATCTGTATGATGACCATCATCTATGTAGCTGTTCTTTCTGTGTATGATCTCGTGTTTGCTTCAGACCATCTGTAGACAGATGGTTTATTTCCCTTCTTGTTTCTTAAATTGTTTTCCTTATAGTAATTCTGGTCCTTCAACACTTTGGCTAGTGATTCTTTCCTCCACACTTATAACACATTACATGCTGCAAATGGTTTTGTCCTATGCATTTTTTCTGTATCTCCTGATGTTTTTTGGTTATGCCTGCATTCATTGTATTACTAAAGTACACTGTAGTATATAAAAGTATTATATAAAAAAAAAGAATCTACCTGTTTTACTAAAAAGATCAGTCCTTGAACTCCAGTCCTTTGTCTAAGCTAAGGTTATGTCATCAGTCTGTTGCAGGCAGGATGAAGCATTTTATTAGTCTCTTCTCCTCCAGAGATCAGGATCCAATACTGTAACATAGCAGCAATCCACAAGAGAACTGCATCAGATATTTGTGATCATCACCAAGATCTGCACACACATTAGAATTGTACATGATTGTGATATATACAGCGCTGAGCAAACTGTTGGCGCCAGGGGCGGACTGACCATTTGGAAACTTGGGCACTTCTTGAGGGCCCGGGGTCAGTAGGGGCCCCATGAGATGCCTATGGTACCTTTTTCATAGGCTTTTTTGAGTCTGGGCAAGGACACAAGGGCCCCATGATCCCCTACTGCCCGGGGGCCCCATGAGTTGTCAGTCCGCCCCTGGTTGGCGCTATATAAATCCTGTATAATAATAATATATCTAAGGCCCCTTTCACATTGGGTGAACTCTGTCCATTTACACCAAACTGCCATCCACTCCAATCAGACAGAGGGGAACTGACGCCCATCCATTTGTTTTTAGCAGATCGGATTGGATGTAGGTGCGTGTAAACAGAAACATGTCCGTTTACACCCACCATTCCAGAAAGGAGAATGAAGGCTCCAAAAAATGGGCGGACCTTAACGTTCATGTGAAAGGGGCCTAAACCAGCAACTCGGTCCTGTTGACACAGGATGATGTCTGAACATAAATGGTGCTGTTCTTCAGGAAAGAAAAACACATGAAGGCATTGTCAGGGGGAAGTACTGTGATATCTTGAGCGGTTTATTGATACTCACACGTATTACTTAACATGTGTAGCACACCCGCTGGTGAACTTAGTCCTATTCCCCCAGTTACAGCACTCACAGCCAGGCACACAGCATTTTCTTCACTTTTCCACTGGCTCAAAGGAACAGTCTAGGGGTGCCTTTTTTTTTATGTTTGTTTTATTGGAACATAGAACTTGGCGATGAATGAAGCACGTGATACCCCAAAACTGAAGAACTGGACTCTACCTGTCTTGCTGAACTGTGAAAAGTAATATCCGAAAGAAAGGTGACTAGGACTCCTTCCAGAGACAAATGCTATACACACTTTCTGACTTTCCAGCACTGGGATAATTTACAAACACAATCACAGGATCATTGGTTGCCCCCTTCTGATATCCACCAGGTTCTTCTCAGTGAAGAACATGCAGGGTCACATCCCCATAGGACAACTGGATTCTTTCCCATCAACTTCCTCCTGGTTCTCCAGACCCAACTTGACACTAGGACTTTAAGTTCATGAATAGCTAGCTAAACATAGCTGGGACCTTGAAGTCTTCCTAATGACTCCTATGGTGTTCTTCCCCCAAGGACAGAGCTCCCATGCACAGGTGTCTACTCCAGCAGGGCTGGATGCAGGCACTCCATCCTGCTGCCTCAGGCCTCAGACTATTTCAAGGCTTTCTATCCACTAACTGGGCACACTTTCCAGGAATTAGCTGGAGTCCCATACATATTCAGGCTGTATTCACCCACTCTATTCCCCTTCCCACTACAAGGCTAATATTATCTAGAATACAGGGAGAAGTAATCAGAGCCAGGTCCGTGGATAAAGGGGTACCACCAGTCCTCCTGTAGGGAGCCCAGGCCAGCAGGGGGTCTAGGCAGCTGGGTGAATCAGATGTATGCAAGGAGTTGATCGGAACAGTGGAGGGGCGAGTACTAGAACCGATCTCCTGTATGGCTCTTTCTGCAGCAGCTGAAAGCTGACTTCTTCTCTCATCAGCTTTCAGCTGCTGCAGAGAGAGCCATTCAGGGGATCAGTTCCAGTAATTACTCCACATCACCCACCCTTGTGCTGCCCAGGCCCCCCTGTGTGCCCCGACCCCCACAGTGCTGCTAGCTTCCCTGCTTTCCTTTCCATCGGCAGCTGCAGGCACTAGGACAATAGGATCCTTCAGAATGGAGAGTGAAGGAAGGCTCCAGTAAATATATCTCATTTACCAGTCCATACCTTTCCTGAATGAACACAATGAGCGATCAGTACCAACCACTCGCTGTGTTCATTCATAAACGAAGTATAGTAAACTGTGTGTGTTTTTTTTTTTAGGGGGGGGGGGGGGAGGTCCCTGTTAGGTTTTGCTGTATGGGGTCCCTGTGGTTTCTAACAGCAGCCCTGATCAGAGCAGTAGTCTGTGAGATGTTGAACAGACCTAAATAATTAGAGATGAGCGAATTATTCAAAAATTCGATTCGACTGATTCGGCGGCGAATTCGTGAAAAAATTTCGATTCGAGTCAAATATATTCCTGCGAATTTAACTTATAAAAAGGGTGTTTTCTAGGCTTCAGAGAGCCTTTATATTAGTGCCGAACACTGTACCTTTAATTTAAATGCCCTTGGAGTCTGCTGGGGAAGAGAAATAATACTGACAGTCAGTATGACATGCAGATGAGTGCCGTCGATCTTAGAACCACCGCACACTTCACTCATTTGGGCAACGTCACGGGGCCAAAACCAGAGTGTGGAGCCACAAGTAGTGGCGGTGGAGAGCAGCAGCAATGGGAGGCCATAACAGCACCCTATGACAAAAATGGAAACCACCAGCAGTGTGAGGAGACCTGAAAGTGGCACATGGCAGAGTGTGGCGATGGAGACAGCAGCAATGGAGGCCGTACAGGGACCCATGACACACTCTGGACCTGGCAGCAGCATGAGGATGGCGGTAACAGGGGCCCATGACAGATTACGGGCCTGGAACAGCATGAGGAGTCGGTACGGGGGCCCATGGTCAGATTACGGGCCTGGCAAGCATGCAATGAGGAGTACAGGTGACTCCATGGACTCTGGACCATGGCAGCAGCATTAGGAGGATGCGGTACAGGGGCACCATGACAGATTAACGGGCCAGGCAGCAGTACATGAGGACCTCGGTAGGGCCCATGACACACTCTGGACCTGCAGCAGCATGAGGAGGCGGTACAGGGGGCCCATGACAGATTACAGGTCCTGGCAGCAGCAACTTGGACAGAGGACGTTCAGCTACTGGGGGCACCCGTCGGGCACAGCAATTACGTTTGACTCTGGCAACGATTCAGACAATGCTGACGGAAAGGGCCTGTAAAGACGGATAGCAGGAACATTTAAGCACTGAACGACCGGAATATGCCAGCAAGCTGTAAGAGGATGACGCTTGATAACGCGCCTGGCACATGCATGAGCATGAGTACCAAGGCTACGGGAGCAGCAGCGACAATGGAAGGGCCTGTAGCAGGACACACCATGCAGAACAACGACATCTGACCAGCACTGCGGTGCATCACACATGAGGAAATGGAACACGGTAGCAGTGGTGTGAGGAACCCATGAACAGATTATACAAGGCCTGGCAGATAGCATAGAGTACAGCAGCAATGGGAAGCTCACAGGGACCCATGACACACTCTGGACCTGGCAAGCAGCATGAGGAGGCGGTACAGGGATCCCACCTGGCAGCAGCAGAGGAGTCGGTAATCTGCCATGGCACCCTATGAAAAGCAATTGAACCCACCCTAGCACAAAATGGAACCCACCAGGAGATGACCTGAAAGTGGCACATGGCAGAGTGTGGCGATGGAGACAGCAGCAATGGGAGGGCCTCCCCCCCCCCCCCCCCCCCCCCCCCCTACAGGACCCATGACACACTCTGGACCTGGCAGCAGCATGAGGAGGCGGTACAGGGGCCCATGACAGATTATCGGGCCTGGCAGCAGCAAGAGGATGTCTGTACGGTACGGGGGCCCATGGCAGATTACGGGCCTGGCAGCAGCAATGGGAGGCCCTAATCAGCAGCCCCTAGACAAAATGGAACCCACCAGCATGTGAGGAGACCTGAAAGTGGCACATGGCAGCAGTGTGGCGATGGAGACAGCAGCAATGGGAGGCCGTACAGGGACCCATGACACACTCTGGACCTGGCAGCAGCATGAGGAGGCGTACAGGGCCCATGACAGGATTACGGGCCTGGCAGCAGCAACTGAGATGATCCATACAGGGGCCCATGAACAGATTACGGGCCTGGCAGCAGCAATGGGAGGCCCGTAATCTGCCAGCACCCTATGACAAAATGGAACCCACCAGCAGTGTGAGGAGACCTGAAAAAGTGGCACATGGCAGAGTGTGGCGATGGAGAGACAGCAGCAATGGGAGGCCGTACAGGGACCCATGACACACTCTGGACCTTGGCAGCAGCAAGAGTGAGGCGACAGGGTGCCCATGGCATACAGGGGCCCATGACAGATTACGGGTACCTGGCAGCAGCATGAGAGTCGGTACGGGGGCCCATGGCAGATTACGGGCCTGGCAGCAGCAATGGGAGGCCCGTAATCTGCCAGCACCCTATGACAAAATGGAACCCACCAGCAGTGTGAGGAGACCTGAAAGTGGCACATGGCACAGTGTGGCGATGGAGACAGCAGCAATGGGAGGCCGTACAGGGACCCATGACACACTCTGGACCTGGCAGCAGCAATGAGGAGGCCCCACAATCTGGCCCATGACAGATTCCTACGGGACCTGGCAGCACATGAGGAGGGTCCGGTACAGGGGCCCATGGCACGATTAACGGGCCTGGCAGCAGCAATGGGAGGCCCGTAATCTGCCAGCACCCCTATGACAAAATGGAACCCACCAGCAGTGTGAGGAGACCTGAAAGTGGCACATTGGCAGAGTGTGGCGAAGGAGACAGCAGCAATGGGAGGCCGTACAGGGACCCCTATGACACACTCTGGACCTGGCAGCAGCATGAGGAGACGCGGTACATGGGGGACAGATGTAGCGCCCTGCAGACACTCTGCCACGGGGCCTGGCAGCAGCAATGGGAGGCCCATAATCTGCCACACCCATGACAAAACCAACCCACCAGCAGTGTGAGGAGACCTGAAAGTGGCACATGGCAGAGTGGTGGCGATGGAGACAGCAGCAATGGGAGGCCGTACATGGGACCCATGACACACTCTGGACCTGGCAGCAGCATGAGAGGCCGACTAGGCCCATGACCCCATTACGGGGCTGGCAGAAAGCAGCAAGGAGGCGTACAGGGGGCCCATGGCAGATTACGGCGCCTGGCAGCAGCAATGGGAGGCCCGTAATCTGCCATAGCACCCTACTGACAAAATGGAACCCACCAGCAGTGTGAGGAGACCTGAAAGTGGCACATGGCAGAGTGTGGCGATGGAGACAGCAGCAATGGGAGGCCGTACAGGGACCCATGACACACTCTGGACCTGGCAGCAGCAATGAGGAGGTCGGTAACAGGGGCCCATGACAGATTACGGGCCTGGCAGCAGCATGAGGAGTTCGGTACGGGGGCCCATGGGCAGATTTACGGGCCTGCAGCAGCAATGAGGAGGCCGTAATTAGAGGTCTTAGCCAGCACCCTATGACAAAATGGAACCCACCATGCAGTGAGAGAGGCCCTGAAAGTGGCACCTCATGGCAGATGGGCGATGGAGACAGCCAATCGGCAGCACCCAGGAACTGTAAATGGACACCAGCAGTGGGTAGGCACCGCAATGAACAGGGACCCATGACACACTCTGGACCAGGCCCCTCCAGCAGCATGAGGAGGCGGTACAGGGGGCCCATGACAGATTACGGGCTGGCAGCAGCATGAGGAGTCGGTACGGAGGGGCCCATGGCAGATTAAATTGGGCCTGGCAGATGACGACGAGGCTGCCAAGTGCGATCAGCCTCATCATCATCAATTAGGGTCTCCGCCTCACTACTAGCCCCCTCGGCTGCGTGTGGGTCAGGAGACAGACCTGTCTCTAGACCGGCTACCGAGCCACTCTCCTCGCCAGATACTTCTTCGCCTGGCTGCTGAAGAGGCGGATGTCTCCCCCCCCCGATCCTGACCGCCCTCTGTTAGCTCTTCCTCACTGTACAGTGGGGCTGAGCCCACAGCATGCGATACTTCGCTTGGTGAGGGAACACCAAAGGACAGGGGCAGGTAGAGTACACGTGATTTCAGTGGGCTTGCTCCCGGGCCATGCCAACTAACGGTTGTGTCTGACGTACCCACCGACCGTTGGCTGTAGGTGTCAGAGGTGACCTGGGAAGAGGAAGACGACCGAGCCAACCAATCGATGACGGCAGGTTGTCGGTGGGAGACACGACCGCTGGATGACACCGGGAGCACTGGCCTCTGGCTGCGACTAGTGCTGGCCTCGACCCCTTCCTCTGCTGCCAACGTCTGCTCGCCCCTGAAACATTGCCTCCTCTGCCACTCCTCTGCGTGTTTTGTCTGACATACTCTTTAATTCAACGATTCTGTGTCCCTGAGTTAACGAATCTGTGTCCCTGAGGATAACAATCTGTGTCCCCTCTAGTAACAATTCTGTGTCCCTAGAGTAACATTCCCTGTGTCCCTGATTAAAAATTCCATGTTGTCCCCTTGGTAACATTCTGTGTCCCAAGAGTAACCGATTCCGTTGTCCCTGAGTAAAACAATTCTGTGTCCCTCATAACGATTCTGTGTCCCTGAGTAACAATGTCTGTGTCCCTGAGTAACGATTCTGTGTCCCTGCAAGTAACGATTTCTGTGTCCCTGAGTAACCTGAGTAACGTGTCCCAATTTCTGTGTCCCTGAGTAACAATTCTTGTGTCCCCTGAGTAACAATTCCTGTTGCCTGATAATCCATTCTGATAACAATTCTGTGTCTGTCCTGAGTAACATTCTGTGTCCCTAGAGTAACGATTCTGTGTCCCTGAGTAACAATTCTGTGATCCCCTGAGTAACAATTCTGTGTCCCTGAGTAACAAATTCTGTGTCCCTCAGTAACGATTCTGTGTCCCTGAGTAACAATTCTC